CTGCCCCACACGCTGACTGTCTGGAGAGGCCGGCAACGGGACCCCGTGTCCTGCCAAATCACGGGCGCTCGACCCAGACTCCCGCTGTCCTGTTCACGGCCCGCCAGGTGCCTGCTGACGACCCAGCAGCGCGGACGGACCCAACAGCCCATCTGCCGGGTGTCTGCTGACGGCAGCAGCAGCGCACGCGCGCAGCACTCCGCCCCGGCCACTAACCGTCGAGGTCGCTGACGCCGCTGGGCGGGCCGCTGGCCGGTCCCGTGTCGCCAGTGCCGCAGCTGACTAGCCGTATGGTGGCCAGGCGGCCCTCGGCGCCGGCCGGGTCGGCGGCGTCGGCAGCGTCGGCGCCGGCCGCCGCCGCCGCCTCCTCCTCGGTCGCCAGCCCTGCCAGCTCGCCCACCACGCCGTAGTCGGACTCCTTGGCGCCTGCGCAGGCCGCACCGCCGCTCACTGGACGCCGGGCGCTCACCGAACGCGCTCAACACGACACACGCCAACGACAGACGCGGCGGCAGACGCGGCACCACCCACCACCACCACCACCATCTCTGCACGAGGTTAGTCCCGTCTCGGGCCGTTCTGCGGCAGCAGCCGAGCCCACACTGACGGACGCAGTGACGCCGGGACGGCCCGCACGTGACTCACGTGACCAGTCCACAGACGACGACGTGGAACAGAACGCGTGGACAGCTCACCCAGCGAAGACGGGGTACGGCACCCACCGGCTGGACGGCGACCCGAGAGCATGACAAAACGGCAGACGAGGTGTCCTTCTCGCACTGGCCATGTCAGAATCTACCTCACGCAGGCAGACCCTACCACGCCCGGTGCGTCAGCTTCCGCGCGTGCGGCAGAGGGCGAGGAGCAAGCAAAGACGCGAGCAAGCGGACGCAGCTAGCACACAGCGCGCGTGAGCGGGCGGGCGGCACCGGGACCGGAGCGCAGACACGTCCCGCCGGTCTGGCCCAGACAGGAGGCGGCCGTACCTGGCACGCTGGCGAATGCAGAGCAGGGATGTGTGCACGAGGCAGACCGGGAACGACTGCAGCACATCGGCCGGGTACCCGGGTTGTTGGCGTCGATCACCGTCACCTTGCTGGCGTTTATGCGTGCTCGTGCAGATCCAGACGAGCGACGACAGGTTGCGCTCCGGCGTCTCGCTGGCGGTGCGGATCTCTGCTGCTCCTGAGGGATGGCCGCGCCCGGTCAGCGCCGCCGACACGGAGGCGGTCTGCCGCTCCTCAGTACAGCGATGCCGCAAGAGGCCTGCTGCTCCCGAAAACACCAATGATCGGATCAGGGGGCGATCCTCTGTTAGCGCGGTGGTCAAAGGAGTGAACTTACGCTTCTGGGGGGACGGACAGCGACAACACAGCGCTCCCGAAATGCCATTTTGCTTACATGAACTTGCCGGCTAGGGTACGCGACGAACTGTATACTTGTCATCAGCACTAAAACTGTTGCTTTATGCGTTTCGTGACATGCCATGAGAAGGGCTACGGCTAAAGCTTTGATGCGTAAGCGGCGTCTTCTCACGATGAGCCCTCCGTGTTGATGCTTTTGCAAAGGGGATTTGCACCACCACTACGGCAGACCTCTGCCTATCATTCCCTATCGGTCCGGCCCGCCCCTGCCGCCCGCCCCGGTCAGCGGACCACTGACCTGTTTGCCGGCTGACCGCTGACCCTGCCCGCGCCCTGACCTTGAGCTGCCTGCTGAGCCGCTCCACCTCGTCGCCGTCGCCCGGCGAGCCGGGCTCGGCGGTGGCTGAGTAGAACACGGACGCGCCGACCACGCTGCCGCCGTCGCGGGTCCGGCCCGCCGCTCAGGTTCACGCCGGCCGCGCACCAGATCTGCGGCGACCACGGCGGTCACGGGAGCCGCGGCCGAACGGCGGCGGAGGCACCACAGCGCACGGGCCCCACAGCCGGGCAGCAGTGGGAGAACGGGGCTTTCGAGTTATGGGGGACTGCGGTAACGGAGAAACGTGACAAGTGTAACAGCTGCCAGACTACAATCCCGCACGAGTAGAGCAAGAGCAGACAATGGAAAGCTAGCAGTAACATACAATATTAATAGTCTTACCTCTCGTGAAACAGACAGGAAAATGGAGAGAGATGTGACACTTCGGACACATACCTTTGTCCAAACGAATATCAGTGGTAAATATGCCTCTCTAAGCAACTGAGTTTAAAAAGTCCGCCGTGACCACAGCGCTAATAAATGACCCCCCCCCCCCCCCCTTCCTCCCAGTCACGATCAAACGCGTTCTCGGGAGCAGCAGGATTCTTTGAGGCATCTCTCCTCGGGAACATCAGACCGTTATTTTAGTTACTTTACTAGACTTACTACTGATATTCGTTTCGATAAAGGCATGCAGCCGAAAAAGCACATCTCTCTCCATCCTCCCGTCTGCTGTACGACGAATCAGACCATTAATACTGTATCATCTATATGCACAATGTTCCTCCTAAATGGAATAAACAACTTGCGTAGCTAGGAAGAAAGGACAATACAAAAAAATGGCGCGACTAGCGAGCTTTTCACGGGGCTGAGATTCTATTTCTGTGAAGATGGCACGACAGACACTGGACTGCACCTAAGGCATCGGTGATGACCGATTAGAGCACCAATCACTGCTAGTCGGAGGTGTGGGAAACACCAGGCACTAATGACACGGAAAACTGACGTTTGCGTCCCACGGAACAACCGACCGATGACACGGAAGGCGTCCGTCAGTGCGGAGGCAGTCTCGGCAGCGGGGTGGGGGTGCGGGGCATCACACCAGCTGGCGGCCGGCCACCCGTCTGGCCGGGAGCGGGACCAGACCAAATCGGGCGTAGCGACGCCCCGCTCACCTTCATGCCCTGCTCCTTCTCCATGAGGGGCCGGCAGTAGACAGGCACGGGCACCGGCACGTGCGAGGACTTGTGACTCTCGCTCTTGCCGGACACGCTGGCGCTGGGCAGCGCGCCGGGGACCTGGCCGGTGCCGGGCAGCGACACCGGTCAGCGGGCGACGCTCGTCGACAGCGCCCGTCGGACACGCCCAGGCACGGGGACGTGGTGTAGAACAGACCCCACGAGCATAGCGGACACCTATGTTATTACCCAAGAACAAACTTGGAAAATCTGTGCGACATTGGCGCTTGAAAACGACCACACACTGAAGAATCCGGATCCAGGTATGGATCATTTCGGAAGAAATGTACCCACATGAACGGTTCCACTCCCAATTCAGAGCAGGGGGCAAATTCATAAGGTCGTTTCACCTTTCACTGAAAATCCAAACGAAAGCAAACTAGCCAACACTAGCCAACATCATCCCTTCGATTCCACGGCGCCTCCTTCACCCTCGTCAGATGTCCCGGACGTCAGAGCCCCCCTCCCTCCCCCACATCGGGCTGGGAGCGCCGCTCAACGCGAGCCGGCTCGGGGCCGCTACTCACCTTGGCGGGCAGCGACCAGCCGTACGCCTGCATGCGGCCGTCGTCCTTCTTGACGTGGGCGCGCACCTGCTTGTACTGCTCGCGCCGCTCGGTGGCGCGCCGCTGCTGCAGCTTCTCCGACGAGCTGGCCGGGCCGGCGGGCAACACCTCGGTCAAGACAAGCGAGCACCGTCTGGGCGTGCCTGATCCCTCTAACAGCAACGTGTCTCTTGTACAGCAATCGGCTCCCTCTAACAAGGCGGCCTCGCACCCACAACAAAACTCGGCTCCAAACCCAGCCAAACCCCCACAGTACCGGATGGACTGCGGCCACAGATCCTGGCCACGCCACTGCGATTACCCTGGATTATCCTATCCCAATACGATCGACAATCAACACCTTAACCCAATAACTTCCAAGCAAGGGGGGGGGGGAGGGGCATCGAGTCCTCGCCGGCGTGGCACGAGCAGGTGCACGTTTGTCAGTGAACTGGCGCCTCGGCCGGCGAGCCGGCACTCACATGTCCGTGTCGAGGAAGTCGATGCCGCGTCTGCGCTCCTGACCGCCGGCGCGGCGCCGGCTCGGCTCGGCCGGGCTGACCGAGCTCGACGGCGCGTCGTACTGGATGTTGCCGTGTGGCAGCACGCGGCTGGATGGCCGCGGCTCCGAAGAGCTGAACAGGTTACTGAAGCTGCCGGCCGACGTAAGGTCGTCAGGGCGCGCTCATAAACAGGAGCGACACGCGGTCATTAGGGCGTGCTCGTGAACACGTGCCTCCTGAACGCAGACACAGAGCCCATCCACACAGCGGTACACAGCTCGTCAACCATCACGACAATATCGAAGTTACGAAGGCACAAACGACACGGGCTTGGGAAATCCGGTACCATTATCACCAAGCCTTGTTAAAATATTCTTTACAGAGTCCCGCGTGAAATAAGCAGCATGAACTCACAATTTCCAAATGCCCTGTTTGCTCTTCTTGTCCATGTTGGGATCGTTCCTGCTGGCCCGAATCATCTCCGTCCACCTGAAATGAGATTCAAGCACGGCAGAGGTAAGATCGTGATTGAGGTCAGCACATCGATCAGACCGGGGAGACAATGATTCAGCAGGTTCCTCCGATACAGGCCATCAGACGACAATGCGCAGGTAACAAAACCGCGGCTGCATCATGACTTCCGGTGCGTGGTTAACCCAAGACGGAGCCACAGACACGCAATAACACCTCCATGCGCGTGGCACTTCGGCACAGCCCTGCCCTCGCCGAAAGGAACCGCGCGACCGTCCGACCGCGTGGCCGCATGCCCCGGTCTATCCGAGGGCAGTCCGGGGGTGAGAGCCAGCGGCGAGCGCGCACCTGACCGCCTCCTGCAGCTCCATGAAGCGCTCCTTGTATTGGTTACGCTCCATCAGCACGCGCGCCATCTCCACGCGTGTGAACCGCTTGCGCTGCGCCATCGGGATGTCGTCCTGCCGGCCAGCGGACGAAAGGTCAGGTAGGGGTCAGGCTCGGTGAGAGGGCTCAATCAGGGTCAGATCGGGGCGGGTCGGCATAACTCCTGAGTCAGGCAGGGCTGCGATCACATCGCCCGCAGCTCACCGCAGTCCAGGCGCCGCCTGAAGACGGCTACTGGCAACAACAGCTTGAGAGCACGCACATCTGCCCCAGCACCGTGCTGAAACCACATAACGCCACCGAGACACCGACGGCGCGCGGGATGCAGACGCTCCAATTGTTCGATTCACATGGAAGACAACAGGCGACACCGCGCACGGCCGATCGGATGGTGAAGCCTCGACGCCGTGCGACGGCAGGTGACGGTCGGCCGTCCGTCGGCGGCCGAGCCAGCCGGCGCCGGGCGCCGCCGCCGCCGTACCTCCTCGGTGGTCTCCTTGCTGGCCTTCTCGACCTCTTCCTTGTGGCGCTTCAGCTCATCCTCCAGCTCCTGCACGCGCAGCTGGAGCCGCGAGCGCACGGCCTGCTGCGACTTGACCTCCTCGCGCAGGATCTCCTGCTCCCTGCAGTCACGCCGGCGCCAGCGGCGTCAGGGCGCGCCGCGGTCCGCACGCCCGGTGGCCGCGTCACGCACAGCGAGCACACACGCACACGCACACACACACGCACACGCACACGCACACACACGCACGCACGCACGCACGCACACGCACACACACACACACACACACACACACACACACACAAATGGTTACAGGAGCTGTCACGAAGATCAGGGACGGCCACCACAATGAGCGAGGGCGGCCAGCTGTCACTGAAACGAATCGAACATGCCACGACACTTGAATGAGCCCAGTCGTCTGGTGTGCGTGGCTTTCAGGTGCTTGGTCGGCTTCGCCGCTTGGAGGGGGACAGAATCACCTAAACGTAACGCCGAACCGAGCCGAGCAGAATACTGTCATCAGCAACTCACCAGCGGATGCAAGAAAGATCTAAATGCAGATCAACCGACAGGCTTTTTAGGGAAACGTTCCAACAAGGCCACATGCGACCGAAGTCATGTTTTTGTTTGTCATCCCGTCGGGCAAGCCGGACCGTTCACCAAACTCTTCCTGTCGAGTTTGACAGAGAGCTCTAGTCACTGACAGGGCGCCAGTGGACAGGGACACGGAGCGGGCGGCGTCCGGACAGGCTCGGCATGCACGCCTCTTACCCGGTCAGTTCGTCCACTTTGGCAATAAGGTCGTCTTTGACAATGTTCAGCGCGTTCCTGGGGAGAGACGAGAGGCGTTAGAGGACGGCAGGGCCGAGGGAGAGGGACGCTGCACCACACAGCACGGCACAGGCGGCAGGCAACCCAGCGCCAAACCCGCCCGCAACAGCACACAGCGACAGACCCGGCGAAGGAGGGGTCGTCCATGCGACAGTTCAGGTTACCTGGCGATTGTTTATTAGGCCGGTGTCGGGCTCTCCGTTTATTCTAAGCATGCCTCCCGCCCGCACGGTGCACGCTACAAAGCACTACAGCCCGGTAGGACGAAGCGGTCGACAGAAGCACCTATATACTTCATGTCGCTCTCCGAGCGCGGAACATAGCACATGACAAGGGGCAGATCTAAGCGTACTCTGCATCGCGTGTATAAGTTACAAAATATTGAGGTCTCTTTGTATTGTCACATATATGAATTCGTCTCCATCTCATGAGCAGGAAGCAAAGCTGTTCAGCTCTTACAGATGCCCTCGTAAGACATTAGCATGCACACGTTTCGGCCAGATAATCATAGGGCTATCACCAGGTGTCGACTCGTATAAAAGAACCGGACGGTGTTGAGTCCTATAAAGAACAAGTCGTGTAAGGCTTAAAAGATCCGTGACAAAAAAATTGGGAGGCACCCAATAAGAGACCAGAGTTTGACAGAGAGGTTAATGGCGGGACATTTAGAAGCCACACATTATTTTCAACACACAACAAAGCTTTTAAACTGCATGTGTCAGCTGCATCCCAACCGTATCTTCCCTTGCTAACGGTATCAACGAAACAAGATGACAACATACTTGGAGAAAACCGGATGCTAAAACGATTGACTGAACACAATCTCTCAGCAGCATATGAACTGGAATGTCTAAAGGTTCCGTGTCCTAAATACCACCATGCACTGGTGGGCATGGACGCAGCGGACACACAGTTTTAAAGCCATCTTTTGTCGGAGCCTTACTTCGTAGCCAAAAGCTCGTTGTTTTCCATGATCAGGTTCTCCACCTCCCGGCCCATACCTGAAAACCGTTCGGAGTCGGTCAGCAAAAGCTCAACGACTTACTAGATGCTCGAAATTACACCACACGGAAAGCACTGTTTAACGTCCATTGCCTGCCGTATGCAGCGAGACAGAAACCCGCCGCGTGGGATCACCGCCAGCCCGTGGAAATTGCCAAGTGATTGCCCAGCTGCCCAAGCTTGGGGACAACACCATCCCAACAATGGAACGTTAGCGATGGAGACAATGAAAAGCACTCACCAAAGAAATTATCGCTGGCTGCAAAAAGCAAAACACGAATTAATCACACCATAAACGCAAGCTTGGTTCACGTTAAAACGGGTAGCAAAAACACACAAAAAAAAGACATCGGAGCACCAATCCAGACATGGACAGGGACAAAAAAAGACAAATATATTGGAGCAAGCTGCGACATCACTGGGGCGGCACACGGACGCGTCTCCTGCTGAACATCAGTGCGCATAATCATGGTAACCTGCTCACTATGTCCGACCATCACCTATTCGAGGATTATCCCGGTACCTGGAGTCTCGATAAACGTCCATGAGGCATGCAGGCACGCACCACGCGACCACGTACCACTCTGCACGGCAGTAAAAGGACCAAGAACGCGACTTCTTTCAGAAATCAGTGATGTTTTTAAGGCTTCCTTTCCTCATGGAGGCACTCGCGCATCACATTCTTTCTATGGTCATTGTAAAGAAAACTCGTGCCCTTCTTCAGTGACATAGGCCATGCACGAAGAAATAATGAATCGCCGCTCAATGCTGATAGCAGCCAAAACCGAACTAACGACAAAGCAGACCATTCGCCGAAGCCGCACAATTCTGTCGTTTAGACGCCCGCCCATCGCCTGCGGGAGGACGTGGGGCAAACTTGGCGGCTGTCGCGGCGCGCTGCCTCGCCGGGTGGACTGGGTGGATGCCATGCTCCAGTACCTTCATCCGCCGCCAACGTCCACGACGTCGACCACAAGCCGCGAGGACAGCCCGCACAGAGCCCGCCGGGGACAGGAGACCCGCGCACCGCGGCAACAGCGTGCAACCGACCGCGCCCCGGAGGCGGACAGACGCACCGCGTGAGGCCGCTGGTGCAGCTCCACGACGGAGCCCCCCACTAACTGCAGGGCGCAGCGTCCTCCCAAAACAAAGCACGCGCGTGAAAGCGTGAGGGCGTGGATCGAACACAGGCGAGAAGATCGCCAACGGGAGGGAGGGACGAAGGGGACGGGAGGCGAGGGAGCGAGGGACGCACGCAGCGAGGGCGTGTGCACGAGAAAGTCGGGTGCCGTGCTCGTACCATGCTTCTGTGCGGCCGTTGGCGGCAGGCTGGTGCCCTCGTCCTCTTCGGAGTCTGACAGCACGGCGGGGCAAGGTCAGGCCATGCGAGGTCACGAGGAGCCGGCAGTGCGGCCGCGCGGCAGCGACAGAGAGGCAGACGGGCAGCAGTGTGCGGAGAGCCCACCCCAACCGACCAGCCCGTTCCCCGGGCCACGCCAGGAGCCCACTCCTGACGTGGCCCGATCATATTTACAAGGGCCAGCACCATTCATACGGTGCTGAGCTGCGCATGCACGTTGTAGTGCAATGAGATGAGAGAGAGAAACCAACTAGCCCCATTCTTGGCGTGAAACAGGCGGAACACACATAAACAAAACGCTAACAATGCAAGCTTCAGCAGACAGTCGAGTTTCGTTTACATTGTAACACAGAGGCAACTGAATTACAAATAAAATAAAAACCCTACACATATAAACTGAAAAGGTTACGCAAAGGAACTTGAACACGATACTGAGGACTGGGTTTCCAGCCGTAAGAGCGGGGTGAAGCCAGGCAAAGCTGACCGCGTCTCAAGATTCACGCCGCGTTAGCAAACTGCCCTCAGCGCTTGCATCGCCGACCACGACTTGCAAACGTCTGGGCGAAGCAACGGCGTCGGTGGCCGACGCCACGAGGCCGACGCCAGCTCATGCCAACGGCGCTACATCGGCACGCTAGCATGCAGCCGCGTGCCTCTCCCACGGGACACACCTGACGACGCGTACTCGCCGGGGTGGACCCATCCTCCTAGCGGCGCAAACAGCACAGGGGCATGGTTAGTGTGCTGCACGGACGGCGGCGCCGCGCTTCCGCGCGCCGCCAAGCTCGGGGTCATCTGACCGGTCCCATGAGGTCACGACACACGGGGTCAAAAGGTCGCAGGCCCTCAAGAGGTCCAGGGCCTTTGAGTCCAAGACAGAGGGCCAGCACGCCGCCCAGGTCGCTGGGGAGGGGGAGGGGAGAGAGGTCGAAGGCTCTCCCCGCAAGCGACTCCGCCTCGCTGGCATGCTTCCGAAAGTCCTATCCCACACTGGCGCCCCGCGCAACAACATCGCCCCGCCCCCAACGATCGGTCCACTGCATCCGGCTCCGGCACGGCAGGACACGGCCACGGCACGGCATGGCACCGGGCGGGCAAACCTGTGATGTCAGCGCCGTCGTCCGCCTCCAGCACGGCGTCCTGGAAGCTGAGCTCTTGGTACAGGTTGTTCGCGGACCGGTGCTCGCTGCCACAGGGAGGGCCAGGAGCGGTCAGACGTCTGCGGCGACGTCATGGCGGCACACTGGTTACAACGGGCGTTCGATGCTATTATACGTGAGCACTGGCGCTGCCGTACACCATTAGTGCACGCAAGACTTATAATGAGCTAGCAGTGGTCGTGGGCGGAGAAGGCTGAGAAAAATTGGTGTCGAAACGCTGGGGAAACAAGCATGTTTCAATGTGTGGGATTCTACCATACCCGTCTCCCCCTCTCCCTGTAGTCTTGCCGTGTCCCGCTCCCCTGCACTCCTACCGTGTCCCCCCCTCCCTATGCAGTGCCGGCTTGTCCTCCCCCCCCCCCCCCTCCCCCGCCGTCGCGCCGAGTCTCTGCCTGGCCGTCCCGCCGCGTTCGCGGTTGCCGCAGGTACCTCTTAGTGGTGGTGTTGGTGGCGGCCGGCGGCTTGAAGTCGGCCGGCCCGTCCTCGTGATCGGGCGTGACGTCATCCATCGACATCTCCCGGTCCCAGACGCTGGCCGCTGCGGCGACACAGGGCCTCGCAGTCAGCGGCGGCGGACGGCGCGCGCGACACGGCTCCGGCGCGTCACGGCCGAGTCCGAGCCAGACCACCACGGCCGCGGCGGCCGTGTCGCTGCCGCGCGACTATGCCACACTGCTCGGCCCTGATGCCAGAGCCAACGGCCACGGCCATGCAGCTCAACGACTTCACCACCCATAAGTCGACACATTTTGGTGTGATTTTGCAGAACCGAACTAGCGAGTACGCCATTCGCCAGAGGAGACAGTTGGCTGGAGGGAAGGGTGTGGGGTCGCACAAAAACAGGTTTGCACTTGTATGCGACGGCGGGCTTCGTTGCTATTTTGCTTGAATATAAGGATGGAAGCAATGAAAAATAAAGCATTCCAGATGTTTTAATATATGTGTTTGATGTGTACAGAAAGTGACAAACACAGCGCAGGCCAGACAGCTGTATGAATCGGTAGAAATGTTCGGAACAAGCCCTCTAACTGCCACACCCGTATTAACATCTCATTGCGCAAAACATGGATACCGATCTTGAATGCAATGCAATCACGTAATTATTTCACCGGGACTCATGCGCACAGAACACTTGATACAATGGGAGGAAGAATGGCCACAAGGCGGAAAAACTTTGTGAGCGATCGGTAAAAAAGGCATTCCATCATGCATTGCGAGCTGTTTCCAAGCATAACACAAGGAAGGTCTTTCTGTTTGGTGTTGCTATTCTGCTAAGTTTATCCCATTGATATGCTCAAGCTTGGCAGTGCGATAAATACACCGCCTACTTGAGAGGAATAAAAACAAATGTATGGGTTCATCGTCCATTACATGCACATTCTTCGTGCGTATATGAATCACTGTGATAAAGATGAAGCTTAACGCATGCAGTTTGCATAACTTGTCTGTTCGCAAAGCGAACAATGCCACCCTGAAATACGGGGTACTTATGTGAAGCTTGATTGTAATGAAATTGTGCATGTTCTTCAATCTTCAGACATGTTTTTCTGATATACCCCAACTTTGTTGAACAGGAGAATTTTCATTCAGACTGCTCTACAGCTAGTGACCACCAAACCTGGATAAACGCTACGTACAGCCACGCAGCACCATCCCCGAGGTTCCGATAAATCCAGTAATCAAGCACATAACCAGCCTAACGTAAAAATATGCCCAGGGGCGTCAGCATGCACTGTTACAACACGAACACGCTGGGCAAACCACAGCCCGACGCGAGCGACTTTCTGCTCGGTCTGTCACATAGCACATGCAGGCAGAACCACTATGAAGGCCGAAAATACGCCATACTTTGGACACAAACAGCTGGACGCTGAACGGAGCGGACTCGAAAGTGTTCAAATCACCGGTCAAACCCGCATGGGCTCGGACCGCGGGGGCGTCGTCGGGCTGAAAACCCCCCTGACCATGCGTCCCATCACCGTACCAGTGGCTTTTGGCGGAGAGGCCGGCTGGTCATGCGTTGCCATGGAAACTTCGGTGGTCTGACCTTTTTCCGCCGTATGCTGTCGGTCCGTGGCCGTCTCGGCGTCCTGCGAGCGCCGACAGTACGTTAGCAGACATTAGCTATCGTTTGGGGAGGGGGGGGGGTCGTGCACGGCGGACTTCTGCACGGCCGCATCTTGGAGAGTTTTGGGACAAAAGTACTCAGAATACTCGACAACGAGTGTAAAAAGCTCACGATTTTAAAGTTTATCGGATGCGTTCCGTCCAGCATAAGTTGAGCTGAAAATGTTTGTCGCTCATGGCTGTGCACTCATGCAGGTGCAAAGAAAACGTTGCAGGCAATGGCTCGCGTTTGTGTTCTCTCCAAATCTCATAGAAACCGAGCTATAGGATGTATGTAAACTGAGTTGTAGGATGCATGTAAACCGAGCTGCAGGATGTATGCAAACCGAGCAGTAGGATGTATGTAAACCGAGCTGTAGGATGTTTGCAAACCGAGCTGTAGGACGCTTGTAAACCGAGCTGTAGGATGTATGTAAACCGAGCTGTAGGATGTATGTAAACCGAGCTGTAGGATGTATGTAAACCGCGCAGTACGATGTATGTAAACCGAGCAGTAGGATGTTTGTAAACCGAGCTGTAGGATGCCTGTAAACTGAGCAGTTTCACCCAGTGTCCTAATTGCTCCAAAACCACTACGCCGTCCACTATTTTCAGTGATTCCAAGAGCGGTGTAAAAATCTCACAGCGCTTCAGCGGGCAAGAACAGCCGACAGCCCCAAAAGTGCGGCACTTCTCATGCTATGAACGTTATAATGGCATCTGATCGAAAGCAAGCTTAAAAACACCACTGCTGCATCAAAAAGATGCAGGCAACTTTGACTGCAGCCTGCTGCCGACCCACAATGAAAACACTAACTAGTTTCAAGATTCACTCAAGATTGTGCGACTAACACGTCCATCACCACATAGCCAACCAAACGAAGTACGCAGTCCGTACCGCAAAGCGCTGCCCGACGAGCCGTCCGGCACTTCGCGTTAAACCTACCCGAACAGCGACAAACGATGGGGGTCGATGCGCACCTACCCAAGTCTGTGGGACTGTGCACGGGTCAGCCACAGCCAAGCCGCCGAGCCTCTACAGAGGTCAGCCAGAGCCAAGTCTCCGGGACTCTATAGGGCAGCCAGAGCGGTCATCGTCGGAGACACCTCGCATGACGGTCCTGAACATGGCGCGCGACCACTACTCTCGCATGCTTCCAAACGGTATCCAGCACAACATCCAACAAAACCGCGGCATCGAAACCAGATCCCGACCCGTCGCGCTGCGCCTCAGCGCCACCACCTCACCAGCGAGGCCTCACGAGTCATGCCTCCGTGCCGACGGCTCCACAGAGAGACACCGACACAGAGACGGTGGAGTCGAGAGCACGTGCAGCCGCTCCTCCCGCCAGCCCGAGCGTGCGACGTCCAGCAGGCGGAGAAAGGAGGGGCATGCCGTACTTACAGTTACCTCGAGCTCAGCCTGCAGGCTGCCCGGCCCGTGGTTGTCGTTCTGGCCGCCAGGGGCGCCACCGTCTGTGGCCTGGTTCGTCACGGAGGCGGCGGCCGGCCGCGAGTCCAGCGACTGCAGCGCGAAGGACAGCGGCCCGGCGGACCTGCCGGCCGAGCGGATGGTCACTCTCAGCACGGGCGGACCGGGCACGGCCAGCGGCTGCACCGTCAGCGGCCTGGAGCGGCACGGAGGCGGCGGCCGGCCGCGCGGCCAGCAGCGGCACGCGGGCCGCGCACTGCCGGCACAGGCGCCAAAGGCGACACAGGCTCGCGCCACGTTGTGAGAGACGGACAGCAGCAAGCCTTTTTGCAGGCTACGATCCAATAGAACAATGCAGTGGGGTGGATGGACGGCTACAGACGACACAGCCGGTCGTTACCACAGGCATCCTGCGCACATCACAATCTGGAACAGAAACTACTCCAGACGCCGCGACTGACGTCACAGCCAACGTGGCAGACGGGCACCGCATCACCGGGCATGCCACTATCTACCTTGTTTCGATACTCCTATCAGCTCAGATTAATGACTCTAACAGATCGACGGGCTGCGACAGCATCGCCGGCGACATGCGTCATTGGAAGTGCGGCGTGTTTGACAGGGCCGCCTGTCGGCACTCCATCAGAGCGGACGGGCGGCCGCGGGTCCGGAGAGGGTGGCGTCTCCGCGGTCCGGCCCGGCCCGCGTCCGACCCGGAGCGCTCGTCGGCCGGGCGCGGGGGCGCCGGTCCGGGGGTGGGGCGGGGAGGGGCGGGGCGAGACGGGGGCGTGGCGGACGACATCAGACAGGTGGCGAGCCCGACGCGCGGGTGGCGCGGCGCCGCCGCAAAATCGATGTCTGCCGCGCGGCACGCTGCGCCGGCAGCCAGCCGGCCGGCCCGATAACGCCGGCCAAGGCCCCGGCCGAAGGCTGGCCGGGCCGCATCCGGGACACCAAGCGCAGCCGTTTATTGCCGCCCCCTTAGATAAGCTTCGCGCCGGGGTCAAACGCCGGACACGGGCAGACGATTAGCACGTGAAGGCCCGATATCGCCGACACCGTGCTGACTGTAAACAGTTTACTCAGAAAAGACTGCCGTGATCCATCATGCGGGGTTCCTTTACCTATCCACCGTACGTCAGTGATAACGTCGTGCTATATAACAACCGACCTTTTCTAAAGGACGCGTACAGTAAATGCCCGACTGCAGCGTTCACTTAAGCCAGATCGTTCACCCACCAGCTGCGGACCTGGCATCTGGCCGCCCTGTGGCGGCAGCCGCGCCGCCCTGCGCACCGGACGGCCCACCCTACCCCGCACCCCACCTGGCCATGGCGGAGTTCTGCCCGCCCGCCAGCGGCAGCTTGGTGCGCATCAGGCTCATCTGGTCCAGCCGGTCGGTACCCATCAAGATCTTGGTGCGCTCCATGTAGTCCATGTGCGTCTTGAACAGCTCCGTGTAGCGGTCGTGCAGTTTGGCGTACTCCTTCCGCATCGTGTCCTCCTTCTCCTCCAGCCGCGACACTGGGCACAGGGTTGAGGTCAGCAGGATTCCCACACGAATGTGGTGGGAAGGGTCGGCGGGTTCGCAGTCGACTCAAGCGGGCCGGGTCAGGGGGTCCTGTGGGCCGTCCCGTCAACCTCAGCTGAAGCGAGCAGAACATGGTGTTCCGCCACGTAGCGCTAGAGGAGGATAGCTACTGCCTCGTAATGGTGGGCACGCTACATCAGGACAAGGTGCAGGCATGCTCACATCATTGCAGAAACACACGCGCCAGATGAACACATTCACGGACAATGTTAAATAGGGGCGGGGGGGGGGGGGGGGAAGGAGACGGATGATAACGACTGTGAAAATCACGCTTCCCAGTATGTGATGGGTGCCGCCAGTCATGGAACAAGTCAGTTGCACAAGATATTCATGCCACTAAAGTGACTATTTTGGCTGAAGAGTTGAGTCACATAGGTCCCATGAAGAACACATACATAGGTCACATAGGCAGCATGGTAGAAAACATAAGTACCACGTGCAAAGAACAAACTGCAACCACACGGCGACAGTAATGACCGCAAGTAACAATTTTGTTCAACATGATCTTTTGAACATAACGCTGGGCATCTAACATTTTGGCCATGATCATTTGAGTTTAGTGGCGCGCCGACGGTCATTTTACGCCCACAATTAGGCCTAAGAAGTGCGATGTTTTCTAGTCAACAGGGAGATCGCTTTCGACGTGCCAGGAACTTTGTAAAACCCAGTCCGATAGGTTTAGATTTGAGGATGGTTTTATCAAAACACAGCACTGGCCAGCGCTGGGTCCTGCGCCACCAGGGCGCACGTGAAACGAGCCCCCACTGACCTTTAACTCCGGTGGGCCACGGCGATAAACCGGAAATAGGGTGGCAACTCCGGATAGAGTCCAATACGCTTTGATTTGATACCGAATTTACGACAACATAGCCCTCTCCGGACGTTCTGCCACCTTCCACAGCGCGCGAGGAACGGACCCCCCTGCTGAGTTCACCCTCGGTGGGACGCAGCAATAAATACAAAACTCCCAACTTTGACAGCTCCGCACGCGATCCACATCCGTCCGGTTTGCATTTAAACAGCCCTCACAGCTGCCACGTCACGTCCGCTCGCACAAGGTCAGGCCGCGACTTACGTCCGGGACCAATGTGCACATTCGATGGCTTGGTGGAAGCAGGAGAGCGAGAGGCTGCGACAACAAGGCTATCTTCCTGGGACGCGCAGGACGCGGCACGTTACGCGCGCTTTACACACGTTACATGCGCTCCGATTACTAACGGAGGGATCAGGATCGGGCATCGCTTGGTACCACTGATATCCTCGCGCCGACGAAACACTAGTAACGCCTTTCAGTACAGCGTAGCAGCCAGTGAGGAGCGGTGAGGGGTTTACATTGAGCGTGTGTGTTACGGTTGGTGCTGAGTAAAAACGCACAACTCAATGTCGCAAAACGATTGAGGATGCTGCAACACGGTGACTGAGTGAGGCAACATTTCTATTATTTGGCCAACCAAACAAAATGTGCTTCAGTTCGATACAGCAACAGTGGTACTATCATTCACAGTATTTTATTTTTTAAGCAAAGGTCGCACAAAAGGCAGACAAATAGATGCGATATCAATAATGAGCGTGTTGTTCAAGGAACTTGCCATCAAAGGACGACGACGCCATCCAGTTTTGAGGCTTTAAATTGCTGTCAACCACTTGACCAACCGCACCTGAGTGAAACTCCACGCGTACAAAAACCTCCCCTGCTGCCCTTTATACGCTTCCGCCACGCACCATCAGACCCCTTCATGATGTAGACTTAGCCGTTCACCAGCTTTAGAAAGGACCTGATCGTGTTCTAATGATCTGGACAACCAGTATACAAGATTGGGGTAATGCGCCTTCAGCCCGAATGTAGGAGCATAACACCAATTTCAAGCGAAGGCAGGTCAGGGGAAGCCAACAACAAGGTCCCGAAAAATATGACAACGAACTTGCTCGTGCCTGGAGAACATCAGCAAAAATCGTCGCATCGACGGACAGTAGTTGGTTTTCAACCATCCTCACGCCTTAAACGCAAGTTTCGAACACGACCCGCGTTTTATGATATGCAACGCACACATTTTGGCAGTTCTACATGTTATGACGGCCATGATGCTGGGCATGTAATACCTTTAAAAAACGCCGTAGGCAAAAATGGAGGAATACCTGTAGGAATCGCGGAAAAACATACAGGAACACCACGAGAACCTTAAAAACACGCGAACATAACTATCGTAGGTTCAGTCCAGACACGTCAATTAACAAACCACCTATCAGCCAGTTGAAGTGCTACAAGTGAGTGAGCCCGTCCGCTGCAGCGGCGATTCGGAAACGGCGAGTTGGCAGCGACTCTGACGTCATAAAAACGTCCTATGACGTAATGACAAAGGACACAATGAGGAGCAAACTTACTTCATAAAAGTCACAAGTGAGCTTTCTCCATCCTATCTGACGCTTGCCCCAATAGAGCATACCATTCCACCACAGCACCATCATAAACGTCGTGACAGACCAGTGTGCCAAGCCTGATATGATCACGCTGCATATTACTCGCACGAGTATAAGACGCACGATGTGCGCCTGGGAATGGATAAAAAGTGAAGTGTGTGTATTCAATTAGCACAAAGCGTGGCTATCTACCACCAGTTTTGGTCGACAGGTCGGCAGTCTTTATCACCGCGCACGGTGCGAACAAGCCTCCCGCACCAACTGTACTGCTCTCCCCAGCGTGGGGGTCGACCATCGAGCGCCAGGCGCCATCGACCCATGCGATCACAACTACAGGTTAGGTGTGGCAACAGAACACGTGTCACTCTTCTGAACACAACCCTGGCTGTTGCTGACTGGTATTGAGCGTCTTGACCACTTTAATTCCATATGAATAGCTTCAGGTCGACTGAACACCAGTGGGAAGACCAACAACCGATCCGGCGAGCCACGATACCATCCCAAAACAAAGCTAACCGGAAACGAGCAGATCACATGGAATGTCATGCAGCAAATTATCTGTACACTGGCCGCAGGACGGACGAAATGCGTTGTGAAAACCCGCTAAAATTTTCGTGCAGGGGAACACACTGAAGCTGTCAAGCATCTGTTGGTCATGTCGGCCATGTTTCGCCGCGATGAAAAGCTCCAGCAGACGTGACTGAGAAGACTAAATGTAATAGTACATGGTAATAACGTTGCACGCGACCTGTTACGGTGGGAAAATGCCAAAGCTGTGATATGTTATCATGTGGAAAAGAATTTCCTCATTGGTGCGCAACCACACACACATTCTGGTTGGGGTGTCACCCCACACAAATTAACTAAAATTTAAGCAGTTTTTTACATTCTTTCCCAGTATCACCTAAGAGTTTGGTTTTTCTGCTGCAATGGTTTGGCAACCCAGCAGGTTCATTACCAACCTCTGGTGAGCTGTTCAGGCCCACCAACAGCATACTCTACTCATACTTGATAGCACTGTACTAAACACATATACCTATTACAAGCAGTGTTTTCTTGGAATGTTTGTTACCTAACACAATGGCAGTGTTCTTGTCCAGGCAGCCTGATGAAGGATGTGAAAGCACCTTCTTGGCCTACGCCAATGTACAGTATGTTTTTTATTTTATTCCAATGCTCCTACAAACTGCATGTTGTGTTGCTTCCAAACAGTGATTTCATCTATAATGTATCCAGCAGCTGGTTACGACATTCTGTTTTTCCACCAGCATGGCTTACCATGGTCAGAGGCATTTCTGGTCTTGAGTTCAAACATCCTGACAATGGATTCCAGGCTCTCAATTTTGGACATGGAATTCTTGAGTTGTTCTTCATTGTGGTCTTCAAGCTCAAAAAGTTTCTGAAAACACACATGAAACACATACAGCCTAGGGAATGATAAGCATGTGAGCTCCATGATAATGACAAGTTAATGCTCAATGACAAACATAACAGAAAAATATCTTAGCGCTTAGTACAGATGAACAGTAACAAGAAGGCAATCACTTGCATGGTTCCCTCACTACCACTTTGGCTGGATGAATAAACAGCACACACCCAGTCCTGCTTTGGTTGCATTTATAAATAAAACATTGCCATCAAATATAGGTTCAGGTCAGTTCATAAGCACATTCACATTTCCCTCTATCCCTTCTGCAAATCAGCAAACCAGACAAGCAATGTCAAACACAAGCTTACCTTTTTGTCATATGGAATTCAGCAACAGTGCAAGTACAGTGAATCAGACTGTTAGGTTTAGCACAACAGAAAAGACACATGACCATCAGCAGTGGGGCAAACAGCATTGATTTGTTCCTGGAAAACTGTGTTTCTTGATAGACCTGCAGTGTCCAGATGAACATCGCAGAACTAATTGTCACTTGTCATACTCAGGGCTATACCCTAACCAATGGCTTGCTGGGTAGAAAGGTGATCTGGTATTGCCTGTGCAGGTCCTCCATTTTTCTGCCAGAGTTCTGCCTGACCCCTCCCCTAATATGAACACCAGGGTGATCCATGGGTCAATGAGAAATTCAATGCATTTGCAAAACTAAGTACAGTAAAATATACAAAATTAGCAATATGAACACATGGCCTTGGCACACATGCTGCCTTCAGTGAGGTGGTCAAGTAACTGATGTGAGCCATTCCCATGGCAAGCAAGCTTGAATGTTCCCAACTACTTCCATTAATGATGCCATATGGGTGCCACAAACAACAGCTTGCTAGCCAATAAAGCATAAAATATCACTGAGTTTTATATTGCATAATGTACTGATCCTGCCAAACTAACCCAATTCAATTGATCAATGTTGTGCAGAACATTATGTATCACAACCAGTGCCTGATCTAGGTCAAGGACATAACTGGCTGGTAGCAGAAAGCTTCAGCTTCCATGTGGAGGCTCTGAGCTGAACTCATGGCACCAGAGACCTTAGGTGCGATGGCAACATGTGTTTACATACAATGCGGAAAAGCACCAGTATCACTGCAAAAATTTTGGTACATTTACACTCTAAATCTGGGTGCTCTGGCTTTGGGCTCAAGCCACCACTACTTCCAGCACAGAGATTTAACATACTGGGCTATTGCAATGTTGTTAAGTAAATTAGCATAACAATAATCTGACAAAAATTTTCACACAAAATTATTTAAAATCTAATGTGTTTCAGCCTGACCTGAGTTTGATGCACACAAACAAAAGGTTTAATGCACAATGTTGCTGTGGCACCCTGTCACCACCATGTTGCTTAAGTTTTGAGCGTTCTCGGGCCGTACAGATTGGAAGCCTACATTGGCAATACTAGCATCCTGAGCTTATTTTCTCCAAATGTGGCTACTTACTGCATTCCCCAACAAACTGATCTGGTACTTCTTATAAGCACAAACATCAATAGGTGTATACTTACCTGTTCTGATGCCCTGCGCAGCTGTTTTTCTCGCTCATATTGTGTTACTAGCTGTTCATTATCTTCACGCAGAAGCTCTAACTCAACCTCATGCTCTTGATTTTCAGTGCAGGAGAAATCTAAGCTCTCCAAAATGTTCACGACCAGTGGCATGAGATTTTTCACTACATCTTCATCATATTTTGCGATCATGCGTTCTAGTTCCTGGTAGACACTCCCTGCTAGAGATTGAACCTTTTCACACATCACGACGTGTGAGTCGTCATTCGAATCGTAAACTGTTTCTTGCTCCATGCTGCACACCTTGAACTCGCACTCGCACTGTTGTCTACCAGTCTGGCATAACAAACCAAACAAGCTTCACATGTTAAACAGAACACACCAAACACAACACCCACACAACCCAGCCCTCTATCGATTTTACGCAATCGCCCGACGTGTTGTTCCGGCTGGGTGCTTGCTGAGTTGCGATCTGCAGATGCTTATGTGCGCCATAAGCGCCTAAAAAAAAATTGGTAGCATTCGAGAGAGTGAAGGTAACAGACTGGTTTTACATTTTCGAGCACCAATGTCGTCGAGCACCAAACAATGATCTGGCCCAGGATCTGACCTTGGTTTCACCATCTGAATCAGTTAAGATTCAGTCGTGTTGACAATGAAAGTCACAAGGGCACCCAAGTACAACGTCCTGCACGATGTGGTTTTCTTCGTTGTCATTCGACGATTGTCTTCAGATCTCATTCCAGCGGCACGTCAAATCGACGGTCCGTCTACTGCAGGGCTGTTTATTGCGTTAAAATTATGCATGAGCATTGCCAACACCATCCCAGCAGCCACCAAGTCAGTTGTGTCCAAACTTTTATGTTAGAAGCAAAGGCAAGTGAACATATTGTTGCGAAGCGCTGGGACATGACTAGCCATGGGTGACTATGGCCAGCCAAAGCCACCCGCTCAGGAGGGGTGAATTTGACCCCCCAAAAGTTTTTGCTGAATGGTCTCCAAATGGCGCGGTGTAGCCGCGCCAAATTTTGCATGCCTGTAGAGAATTGAAGCTGAACTCAAAAGCAGATCGTTTGGTATAAAAGAGCTAGATGTACCTTGTAAGCTCGCTGACCTACGGCAGGTCCAAGTCAGGCCATGGATTCAGAGAAGACAGTTTCCGAGCAATCGTTTAATTTGGTGCAACAGCGGAGTGTTAGATGAAGCTATATATCTCTGAGATAGTTTCTTAGGCAACACAGCAATTGCATGCACAAATGGCATTGTCTTAGCGCCAGGTGTGAAGGTCAGAGCGAGGTCAAGACCAGCTTGATTTATTAGTCTAGAACTTGCTGTATGGACTAGTTTCTCGTGCACGTTTCAAATTTATTGATAACGGGAACCGATTAACACATCTTCCATGAACTTTTTAAAGGTCAGGACAGTTCACTGGCCTCAAATGACTCAGGTGAACAATTTGCTTAAGGAACATGCTAGCTAGCGTTATCTTTGACGCTTATTCAAATGCAAAACTCAGCGCTGTCTTGAACGATTTTGGACATAATGCTTTTCAAAAGGTCAAAAAAACTCACGGAGCTTGCACGAGCGTCAGTAACCCTTTTCTCAGAACAGATATCTAGTTTCTGGGGCACTTAAGCCACAAATCTGGAGTTTAGCTTTGCTTGACATCATTTGACACGTGGCCCTGACCTATCAAATTTAAACTTTGTTACAAGTGAGCTCATGCACAAGCCGACACCTTCTGTGAATTTGCTGTCTCTAGCCTTCTTGATTTCTAAGGTCTCAGAGGGCTCAAATTGACCGCCACCCGAACAAAGGACATTCGACCGGCCGCCCGGGCGCGGGCTAACCCTTAGCTGCAACCTCAGCTGGCAGCTCTGTTTTGTGATTTCCCAGTGTACCACTCCGCAAGGTTTGCTAACTGACTTTTTAAAGTCACCTTACCTCCGACAGGCTAATCCCTTCACTGAAGTGTTAAATTAAATGACAGGTGATTTGCGCCCTATGCAAATAGCTGCAGCCACAAGTACAACTCATACCGTCGACTTTTGGACTGCAATCTTTATGCAATAAGATCATGACACTAATACGGACTTCTCGTAATCTCGTACCTGGATTAATACAGACTATATGAACTCCATTTCAGAGCATCATGCTGTGCACCTGACAACCATTGTGCAGATTGTTACGAAATATAAGCCGTTTCCCTGCAAAGCCTGTTTACGAGCTGGCAAAGCAGCAAATCAAATCGAAGAAACACGCGTGACTGAGGCGTAATCTCGATGCCCAGATCTGCAGCCAGTCACTCTGAAAAGACGGCAGACATCTTATTCAGTTTGCTAAGCATTCCTTTGTCATGGGTCAAGGTCTACGACAGTAGGCCGTCGCGGCAGCGGCGGGGTGGTGCGTAGATGACCGGCACACCTCTCACCACGGCCGTGGTCGGGAGCATGATGAGATGGAAGATATACCGCGGACTTCTTATTCAAGCCCATGACCAGAACTTGGCACGCCTCATGGCTACTAATCAACAGCCTTTTACTTACAAATGCGGGGAGCTATTCGGATACTGCTTACTCCCCATTCGTATGAGTAGGAAATGCAATCATGTTAAAACATAGACATCTTCTTTGCCGTGAGAATAGATGCCCGAGCCACCGAGCGAGGCTCGCCGCTGGTGCCACGCGTTCTCAAGGTAACAATGCACCACGTCAACGAAGAAGTGGTGGGAAGGTGAAACAAACCAACTTTGTGTCACCACCTGATGATCGTTGACGAGCTGTGTAAACAGATGAATGCTACCGTAGCATCGAGTGCCTTGCACCGCCTTAGGGCAGCGCGGACTGGTGGTCCCGTTTATAGTCTGCTCGTGCGATCAGCCCTCGAGATCACGGCGTGTCCAGCTGAGAGTGGGACTCACCACACATGCGTCCATTAGCAGAAAGGAAAATGCGCACAGTAGAAAGTGGCACCACGTTGCCTTGCAGCCTATCCTCAAAAACATCTTAAGTAGGAAAGATACGCAGCGTTCGTGACTGGTTTCATGAACACCCTGGAGACGGAAGTCTACAGAGAGCGTCTACACCACTTGGCTAAGGCATGGTGGGACGTTTGACATAAGTGTTTAAAGTACTTACAGTTCATCACGTTGCACAAAGCTAATTCTGATAAAAAAGCTCGGCAGATCCCTTTGCAGCCATGTCCGTGAAGTTAGCGATTTCCTCAGCGAATTACTCAGCGACGAGTTCCTATTTCTCTGAACAAAATCTGGAGGCCAAATGTGGCATGAGAACATCGCAAACGACCTTTATTTTGCAATATCATGCGAACTTCGAGGTCCAAAGCTGGGTCAAAGGACGGGGAGCTCGACACTACCCAAAAATTATCAGCCGATTTCAAAACTGCAAGTACCAAATTATTCATAAGCGCAAGAGCTAGCGTCCGTCAAAAAGTCCTGAAGTCTCAAGGTCACCCTTCAAAAGCAAAAAGCGGGCTCAAAGGACGGAAACTCAATGTGACACAAAATTACCGGCCGATTTTAAACTTGCAAACGCCAGAACCCTTACCATAAAAAGAACTAGTGTCCGTCAAAAAGTCCTAACCTCTCAAGGTCATCCTTGAAGGTCAAACGTGGTCCCAAAGGATGCAAAACTTCATATCACCGAAAAATTACCGGCCGATTCTTAACTTCCAAACATCAGAAAACTCACCACAGAAAGAACTAGCGCCCGTCAACAAGTCCTGACCCCTCAAGGTCATCCTTCAAGGTCAAATACGGGCTCAACAAACGGGAACTAGCTGGATAGACGTTAGTTCTTTCTGTGGTGTGCATTCTGATGTTTGCAAGCTTAACACCTACCGATGACTTTGGGTCATTTGAATTCCCCCGTTCTTTGAGCCCCCGTTTGACGTTGAAGGGTGACTCCGAGAATTCAGGACTTTTTGACGGCCACTAGTACTTTCTGTGGTGAGCATTCTGATGCTTGCAAGTTTAAAACCGGCCAGTGATTTTTTGGTGATATGGAGTTCCCCGTCCCTTGTGCCCCCGTATGACCTTGAATGATGACCTGGAGAGGGCAGGTTTTTACAGAGGTAGGTCTTTTTGTGGTGAATATTCTGATGTTCGCAAGTTAAAAATCGGCCGGTAATTTCCGGGTGATACTGAGTTTCCCATCCCATGGGCCAGCATTTGATCTTGAAGGATGACCTTGCGAGGCCAATTCTTTTTGACGGGTACTAGTTCTTGCTGTGGTGAGTATTCTGACGCTTGCAAGGTTAAAGTCGGTCGGTAATTTTTGGGTGATATGGAGTTCTCCGTCCTTTAAGAATTCCCTGTCCTTTGAACCCGCATTTGACTTTGAAGAATGACCTTGGGAGGTCAGGACTTTTTGACGGACGCTATTTCTTTCTGTGGTGAGTATCCTGATGTTTGTAAGTTTAAAATCGGCCCGTAATTTTTGGGTGATATTGAGCTTTTTTGTCTTTTGAAACCACGTTTGACCTTGAAAGGTGACCTTGAGAGATCAGGACGTTTGGAAGAACGCTAGCTCGTGCGCCTGTGAACATTTTTATGCTTACAGTTTTTAAACCGGTCGGTAGTTTTTGGGTGATATCGAGCTCTCTGTTCTTTGGCCCAGCTTTCTACCTCGAAGGTTACATAATATTGCGAAATAAAGGTCATTCTTGATGTTCTTGTGCCATATTTGTTAAACGGCGGTTTTCAGAGAAATCGGAACTCGGCACCGAGTAAATCTGTAAATAAATCTTTAACTTCACGGACATTTTGTCGCGGGCGATCCCGCTAGAACAGTCTAGAACAGAACTAAGCCCGAGTCTTCCCAGAGCCAGCGCTGCGTCAGGCCTCGCCAGAGCCAGCACGGAGACTGAGCTCGCCAGAGCCAGCTTATACGACCGATCGCATGGGGTCGTTCGCAAAGCTGGCGTACCAGAGCTAACGAAGGGCTACGGGGACCTAAGAGACGCTGGGAATATGCTTTTGTGTGCTGATATGGTGATATGCGTCAGGTCCCATGCCGCAGAGACCCAGCCCAAAATTGGGGGCGTGCGCCCACATCGCCCCACAACCAGATACGAGCCTTCACCGCTGCGGAACAACTGAGACTCATGAGAAAGACGTTGCACAACCGAAGTGGCGAATGCGTGCTCAGATGTTTGCAATGTAAAGGGATTCTTATTGAGAGAATTCGCACGAAGCATGCTCGGTTCGGAATTTCGACGGCATTGTAAGAGTCGTTTCGGAACACTACCCTTTTAACAAACGTATTGAAGAAAGAGGCGTGGGAATCAGGTGCCAGGGGCATAGCGTCCTAGCCTCAGACTTTTTGAAGGTAGTTACCATTGCCCCATGGGTGGTGATTTGAAAGAAGCAATCAAAAATGAATATCGGTAATCCTACTTACGAGAGGTTCCGGCTACTATGGCCTTGTC